GGCAGAAATTAGTTTTGTCATATTCTGTACTGTAACCATATACACAGGTGGGCAGTGATAGGAACAAGGGGAAATGGTTTTAAACTAAGTCAGGGGAGGTTTAGGTTAGGTATTAGGAGGAAATTTTTCACACAGAGGGTGGTGACACACTGGAATAGGTTGCCCAAGGAGATTGTGGATGCCCCATCCCTGGAGGCACTCAAGGCCAGGCTGGATGTGGCTCTGGGCAGCCTGGTTTGGTGGTTGGTTACCCTGCACACAGCAGGGGGGTTGAAACTGGATGATCTTCATGGTCCTTTTCAACCCATGCCATTCTATAATTCTGTATACCAGAGCCCATTTGGCCAACCAGTCCATGGTCATCACGTGACATTTCTTCCTCGGTAGTGGCACGAGTTCACCTTTTGTGGAACAAAAAGTGCCTTCAGGAGGACAAAGGACCCAAAGTTTTGCAGCATTCATCATGCATTGTTTTAAAATGCACGAAAACTTTCAAGTCATTGACTGGCATGAACAAAGTTGGATTTTAGCTCAGCAGCTTCATGCAGCTGCCAGCAGTGAGTTACCTTCCTATACAAATGAAGTTAACGTGCACAGCTATCATTGGCTTGATTTCTCCATGCAGAATGAGCAAAACATACAGCCATAGTAACCAGATCCTCCCTCCAAGTTCTCCTGCTCTTCTGAAGGACAGGTATGCATGGATCTGTGAGGAGGAGCTTACATTTTTCCTGATTGCAAGAACATGGGCAGGAGAGCTGGTTCTGCTGTTCTGTGACATGCTGCAGCAATGACATGGAGTGACCTTGCCTATCGGCCTGTAAGTGGTTTTCCAACATGTCACATGTATCTGTTATCGATCCACTTGAGTCCATATAGAACAGCCAATATTTTCTCTGCTTAATAGGGTTACTGAAAATACAACAGTAATGTGCAGTAATATCTCCAAACAAAAGTCCCAGTTGAGGTATTAAAAGACATTGGAAAACAATTTGAATGAATTCATGGAGTTTAACAGTGAGATGAGCTTATAACTAGCCTTACATTAGCATTTTGTTGGCCTAAAAATCTCACATCTGACGACACTTAGCATGTAGTGTTTGAAAGATAGAAGTGTGTCAGAGCCTTTAACACAAGATAAAAAAAATCCAGTCTCACTTGCACACATCAGCATGCATAAGTGTTGGCACCCAAGATGTGAGCTCAAGCCCCAGACATACTAAGTTTTTATCCATTTCAAAACAGGTAAAAATAAATACATCCTTTCTTACCCATTATGGAGACAAAAACATTTTAAAGAGGAAAGTTCACTTGCACTACAAAGAGCAGAGCTGAGCAAGGTTACCTCATAGTGCACACAGCAAACACTGTTTCAGCTGGAGATCATTGCACACAGCTGTGTTTATATATAATTAATGATTCAGCTGGTAGCAGAGCTGTGCCTAGAAGAGGGCAAGTCCTACCTCCATCTTCAGAAAGTGCAAAAGAGATAGTAGAGACTTTTGCATGAAGGAAGAGTATGGGTAGTTTAAGAGAAATCTCAAAGCTCTTGCAATTTTCTGCTGCTCCACTCCTTGCTGAGTGGAATGGAAGCTGACCATCAGTATGAACAGTGTACAGCAACAGATTTTACCTGTCAGTAAAAGAGATTTGACCTTAATTGCTGAGCTCAACTTTACCTTGGGCTATGGACAAGTGCAGAAGATGCTACCAAAGTCCAGCTGGCACATAATAATCTGTTGATTATTATTGATCAACATAATAACATGTTGATCATCCCAAAGGTGTGAGGCACCTAACATCCCAAAGGTGTGCCCATCTAACAAAAACCTACCAGTTGCTATCAGTGGTATGAATAATCACTGCTTAATATTTCATCCATCTGGGGTTCTCATCCAATGTCTCCATGTTAGATTCATCTGTGACAGAGTCTGGGAGAAATCCAGGAAAATATTATCACTGAACAACAGCCAAAGTCTGGCACTCGTCTCTACCTGCTTTAAAATTTTAATCGCACTTCAACACTATGATGAATGGAAAGTACTTAGCAGAGATTAGCACCATTCCTTTCATTTCTCCTTGGATCACTTTCTACCTTAAAGTCTGAGAAATGGGAGAATTTGGGGGAGGTGATATTCCAGTTTCTGTAATGCAAGTCATCTCATCATGGGTGATCTTCAGGGTCCCTTCCAACTCAAACCATTCTATGATTCTATGATTTAGCAGTCTTTTGTACTCATCCTTGCGTGCAGACTCAGTAAGCTAGTAGAATTATATCTGCCGTTTAGGTCTAGCTCCTGTCCTTTCTTCACATCAACTCATAAATAAAGATAATGGTAGCAGGCTGAGTTGTTAGAATTCTAATAAACAAGGCTTAGGAGCAGGAGAGAAAGGGGGAAGGAAAAATGCTATTTGAGTACTCCTGACTTCAGAAATAGAACTAAAATGGGAGGCTGCACGACCTCTCTCCAGCACCTGCCTGCGCAAACTCCCTGCTCAGCAACGTGATTAGATGCTATTTTCCCCGGGGCTCTGTCTCACTGTGCATGAGGGAGGCCTGCATATGAGGGAGGCCTGAGTGGGAAGGAAGGCAGGCAGGTGACGGGGCAGATACTGCTGTCGGCTTGCCCCCTTCACTCTGTATCAGCAACACTTCTACATGACTCAGAAGTGAAAAAAGGAGGATGATTTTGAGATCCAAGTAACTGCTGGCTGCGTGAGCAAGCCAGTACACTTTGCCACAGAGCAGCTGCGTGATAGCAAGCGAGGCATTCACACTAACCTTCAGACAGGCAATCACTATAGCTGGCTGTATTTTCAGTCAAACTAGGTTGAAAGTAGGGTCCTCCATCTAGGGAAAAATACCTGCACACGTCAGTATGGGCTGGGGGCTGACATGCTGGAGAGGAGCACTGCAGAAAAGGGCCTAGGTATCCTGGTGGATTATCATGTTGGCAATGAGTCAGCAGCGTGCCCTTGTGGCCAAGAAGGCCAGTTGTATCTTGGGGTGCATTAAAAGCGCACGGCCAGCAGGTCAAGAGAGGTCCTTGATCTAGATCCTCCCTCTATGCTCTGCAGTGGTGAGGCCACATCTGGAATACCTTGTCCTGGACACCCCAGTTCAAGAAATATAGGGATCCTCTTGAAAGAGTTCAGCAGAGGGGCACAAGGATAATTAAGGACCTGGAGCATCTCTTGTATGAGGAAAGACTGAGAGACTGAAAGACCTGAGACTGTTCAGCCTGGGGAAGAGAAGGCTGAATGTCATTGCTCTTCATACATATTTTAAGGGCAGGGGCCAAGTAGATGAGGCAAGACTCTTTTCAGCGATGTGCAGCAACAGAAAAAGGGGCAACAGCCACAAACTGGAGCACAGGAAGTTCCATACAAACATGAGGAAGAACTCCTTTACTTTGAGGACAACAGAGCACTGGCAAATGCTGCCCAGGGAGGCTATGGAGTCTCCTTCTCTGGAGGTATCCAAGACCTGCCTGGATACTTCCCTCTGCTATAGTAGGGGCTTGGACACAGTGATCTCTAGAGGCCCCCTGCAGCTCTGTGAAATGCTCTTGTCTTGCAGAAGCCTGCAAGAAACGCTGAGTAGAATCGTGAATGTACTATGTGCCATGGACACAGCCAGTGCTACCAAGAACCACTTTTTAGAGATATAGATACTTGTATAAAGGCATATTTGTACATGCATATATAAAATAGTGAGTTTTGACATTTCACATAAGGAACTTGAAATTACCTCTATTTGTTTCTTGGATCTCTGCTGGTAACATAAGGGAATTGTGGGGAGGTACATTATGATAAGTACTATAATGAAGTTAAGTGATGAATAGGAGGCTATGCATTAGATATTTTATTTTCATTTGATATATAGCTACAGGTCAGGTTCTTCACATACGCACAAGTGCTTGGGCACAGCAGCAGATGTCCAAGCATGTACTGTTGTGGCCACATCCAGCTCACAGGGAGAGTAGCAGTGCTTATCTTGGCATTGCCCAAGGCCTGTAACCCCTCCAGGGAAATACAGCCACCTTGTACCTGTCAGCCCAAAGACTGTGCTTCTTAAGTGCACCAAGCCTAAAAATACATGGCAATTCAGCCGTGGACATTAAACAGGTCAAGGAGTGACAAAACCCTCATGTGCACAGGATTCTGCTTCCCAGTGTACTGACACCTCCCCAGTAAAAGATACTTTTGTTCTTGCCAGTGAAAGGCATGAAGGAATTTGCTTGGCCTTTGCAGAATTACACGCAAGGCAACAACAAAGAACCTGTATTAATTTGCCTCACCTTGAACATAAAAAAAATTAAGGGCCTCTTTTAAAACTTAGATTCAAATTCAATTGCTAGATATGTGATAAAGCAAAGACGTTTTGCTCAGCCTTATCCTCAAGAGATAAAAAGAGAAACAATTAAGGCACTTGATACGGCACACAAGCAGCAGAAAGGGCTCTTGACGATGGCCCCAACCCCCCTTAAGATTAAACAAAATATTGTAACTGAGCAGCACTAGACTTTTTTTCACTGGGGCTTATTGTAAGCCTCTGGATTTTTAAATTACAACGGCCTTTTACTTCCTTCAAAGGTTGTAAGACTTTTTTGGCTGTACTGTAAAACACGGCCGAAATGCAACGCTTGAGTATCAATATGAGCAAATAATACATCCAAATAGATTATTGTGAAGTAAAACTGAGCCAAAACAACAGCTGCTTACCCACAAAATGAATTTTTAATAACTTAATGCAGCGCAAACCCCTAAAACACATTGTAAGCTCGGTTACTTGGAAGAAAACTCACTAAAGCAATATTTACTCTCTCATAAAGGCTCAGATACATGTGAGGGAAGCAAGGGCTAGCCCTTCCTGCTATGTGGGATATCTCAGCATTGCGAGGTGTCTGCTTTCCACGCAGAGATAACCTTCTCAGAGATGTACTTTGGCTCAAAGGGACGGGATCCTACAGAATGTAATCAGTGCGTATTAGGTGACAGCCTGTGGCTGGAGTAAGAACAAAGGCTCCGCAACACAAGTCAGCCACATTAAAAGAAAACTGCAACCAATTATTATGCTGCAGTGGCTTAGCCAAGGAAATCTGGGGTTTTTCCACTCCTATCAAGTTATTTAAGACAATATTCTCCCTTTCCCTCCACCCCACTTTTCACTTCCTGGAATATGCTGGGAACATCCCACAAGATCACAGTTCTACTTGCCATCTATCTGGGTTCCCTAGCTCACGACAAGGGGTGTATAATCCATCTTCATGTTTATCAGACACTGAAGAGATTGTTTCTGAGACTTCTTGCCAAGAGCTCCCGGAATTCCCTACTTTTATTTGCAGACAAATGCCATAAAGCCAAACAAAACTGGAAAAGAAGGAAAACGTTGTCTCTCCTTCTTCGTTCCCCTTTACAAGACAGCAAAACGCTCCAGCAAGCAAACATCAGCTCACCAGCCCGCACTGCTGTCAAAGAGCAGTATGCCAAAAGGGACATAAGGTTGTTCCTTAGGAAGACAAGTTTAAGAGACTGCAAGGATGAGAACCTCAGGCACAGCACATTTAGGCAGAAGGTGGGTACAGAAATGAAGATCATAACACCCTATTACTTCTCTTCAGGGATGGCTACCTCCTTTGATTAAGATGTTGCCTATTTTATGCAGTGACCAAACAATTCAGATTTTTTTTCTTTTTTTTTTTTTTTTTTTTTAAGTTGAATGAGGGAAGAATTAGGTTGGATGTCAGGGTTCTAGTAAAGTTCTTTACTATGAGAGTTGTGAGATGCTGGAAGCTCAGTTACTTGGAAGAAGCTGTCCAGAGAGGCTGTAGATGCCCCATCCCTGGAGGTGTTCAAGGCCAGGTGGATGGAGCCCTGTGCAGCCTGGTCTAGTATTAAATAGGGAGGTTGGCCCTGCCTGTGGAGGGGTGGTTGGAGATTCGTGATCCTTGAGGTCCCTTCCAACCCAGGTAATTCTGTGATTCTGGGATTTGCCATTGGAAAATGGAAAAGGTCCTTGCTCCAGCTGTTAGGCTTGGTCCAAGTTTACCAGGATATTTGCATGAATAGCTATACAGTTTTCAGTTCAGCAAAATTCAGCCTAATACATTATGCCTCATTACTGTGTACTCCTAGAAAATGATCCAGTTTATCTGGCATAGAGATACAAAAATGCATCACTAGGGTTGTAAAGACAACAGACTGATCCCACCTTCATCACCCTGCAGAAGGGAAACTGGTGAGAAAGTCGGATGGGAAGCCTGTTTCAGAGAGCGGACAAAACTGATGATCTCAAAAATAACAAGATGGGAGTGCACAGAGCACTTTGTTTACATACAAACCAGATTTGCAAGGTTGAAAGCATTTTTTGTGAAACAAGTATTTGTCTAAAAATATATATTTGGCTGCTAACAATAACTACTTGTAAGAAAAAGCAGAAAACACCTCCTTAAATGTTCACAAGACCGCTTAAGCCAAACCAGACCCATAAGGCTGAGTGTCATAGTTTCAATAGAATTTGTTTCATTTTCACTTGCAGTTGTTTCAGAAAAGCGCACTGTTAAAGAATTCCTGGAGAAGTACACACTCATGTCTGAATCAAGAAAATCATAAGCACAAACAATGCATCACTCCTGGTCCGCAGTTAACACTTCAGGTACAGTAAGTGGATTTTCAGACTTCTTTATGCAGAATTTTATATTTTGCTTACACTACTTCTAAATAAGTCCTATGATTTACAAACAGTATGACTTTCTGAGTATCTATCAAAGAGGTTAACTGTATCGCTCATTTTAGAGAGATTTACTTACCACCGCTTGCACTTAGGATCACTTCTTAAAGCAGTGCCTGGCATTCAATTTGTAAGGCTCAAAAGCTGTATTATTTGTGCAGGACATTAGTCAGAGCATGAAGGGAAAAAAAAAAAATCCAGCCAAGCTTTCTGACTTTTGAGTGGTCCTGTGTGGAGCCAGGAATTGGACTCGATGATTCCTGTAGATCCTTTCCAACTTAGGATATACTATGACAACGATTCATATGCCTGTGAGGAAAGGTTTTTTTGTTTAGTGTACGTTACATTGCCCATTTGATAACACAAGTAGAACAACATAGATATTTTGACCATGCCAATAAAGATATGTTCTGTCTTGTTGGTAACAGCAGTGAACATGGCAGAAGGACAATGTTGGCATGTGAACTGGTTCAGGAAAAGCTTTGTGTTCCATTTTGTTCACAAAGATGACCAACCGTTCTTACTTCGAAGTTTGAGTGAAGCCAACTTTTTTATCCAGAGGTGGAAAAGACTCCATACTATCAGATCCAAATAGCACACAAGAGAAGATTCCAGATTTAAATGCAAGCTAGACTTCATCAGGTAAAAGCAAGGGGTAGAGCACAGTCCCTTAGAGTCGGTGGTGAAAGGGGTGGAGAGATGGGAAAGTACGAAAAAGTGAAAGCCTGGAATAAATCAACAGCAGGGAGGCAGAAAAAGAGCAGAGGACACAGAGTTAAGACCAAAGAGAAGGGGAACAGTAAGATGAAGACAACACAGAACATATTATGTGTTGAAGGGCATCAGCTCACAACTGTTCATTGTCTCATCATCTCAAAGAGGTATATCAAAAATGAGCTGAATAGAACAGCAATCAAAAGCTATAGAAAAAGAACTATTTTTTTCCACCAGCAGGACTCATGTACAAAGCTATTCAGAGCCACATGCAGAGTGAAAACCTTCTCCAGATTATATAGGATAAAAGGCATCCACTGTCAGATAAAAAGTACTAGAGTGCCTAATAATGAGATTTGATGGCGCTTTGAGTTAAGACAGCTCAAGTGTCTCTGCACTTGTAAAACAGGCAATTGACAACCTGACACAACACACACATAATTAAAAATTGACTCTATTGAGGAGCTGTTCGTTGTGCCAGATGCTCTCTGCACTAACTGAGAGAGCCTGTGGAAAAAAAATATAGTTCAATAGCACACTATGTGCAACAAGAACTGCCCAGGGTGTAAAAAGTGACTGATTTATTTTTCTTTTATTTATATATCATAGACCATAGAATGGCTTGGGTTGCAAGGGACCTCAAGGATCATCAAGTTCCAACCCCTTTGCCGCTGTCAGGGCTGCCAGCTGCTAGATCAAGTGCTAGATAAAACTGCCCAGAGCCCCATCCAACCTGGATTTAAACATCTCCAGGAATGGGGCATTCACAGCCTCTATGAGTAACCTGTTTCAGAACCTCACCATTCTCTCAGTAAAAAACCTCCCCTTAACATCCAATCTAACCCTTCCTTCCTTGAGTTTAAAACAATTCCCCCTTGTCCTATCACTATCTACCCTTGTAAAAAGATTTCCATCTTGTTTATAAACTACCTTTAAATATTGGAAGGCCTCAATGAGGTCTCCCCACAGCTTTCTCTTTTCTAAGCTGAGCAAATTCCTTCAGCCTCTCTTCATAGGAAAGGTGCACCAACCCTGGATCATCTTCGTGGCCCTCCCCTGGACCCTCTCCAAAAGCCCCACATCTTTCCTGTGTTGGGAATCCCAGACTGGACGCATTACTCCAGCTGGGGTCTCATGAGAACAGAACAGAAGGGGACAATCAACTTCCTCACCCTTCTTCTGATGGAACCCTACAATACCATTAGCCTTCCATGTTGCAAGTGCACACGCCTCTGGTTGCTAAGCTTTTCATTTACCAGGACCCCTGTGTTCAGCTCTGGTGAGGCCGCACCTCAAGTACTGTGTCCAGTTTTGAGCCCCTCAAGCCCCTCACTGCAAGAAAGACATTGAGGCCCTGGAGCAGGTTCAAAGAAGTGCAACAAAGCTGATGAGGGGTCTGGAGCACCGGGCTTATGAGGAGCGGCTGAAGGAGCTGGGAATGTTCAGTCTGGAGGAGGCTCAAGGGAGACCTTAGAGAAAGCAATAACTGCCAGATGGGAGGTTTTAGTGAGCTGAGGGTTTGCCTCTTCTCTCCTGTAATTAGTGACAGAGGGAATGGCTTCAAGCTGTGCCAGGAGAAATTCAGGCTCAACATTAGGAAATACTACTTCTCTGAAAGAGTGGTCAGGCACTGGAATGGGCTGCCCAGGGAGGTGGTGGAGTCACTGACCCTGGAGTTCAAGGAATGTCTGCATGTTGCGTTGCGGGATATGATTTAGTGAGAACTACTGGTGACAGGGGGCTGGTCGGACTAGATGATCTTGTAGGTCTTTTCCAATCTTGGCGTTTCTGTGATTCTGTGAGTCCTAAGTCCTTCTCAGCAGGGCTACTCTCAAGAAGTTCATCTCCCATTTTGTATATACATCTGGGATTACTTCGACCCAAGTGCAACACTTTGCATTTTGCTTTGTTGAACCCCATTAAGTTCACCAGGGCCCACCTTTCCAGTTTATCAAGGTCCCTCTGGACAGCATCCCTTTCTTCTGCTGTATCAACACAACACAGTGAGAAGTGCTACATATTTTGAAGAAAATTTTAAATAGAAACCAATTTATTTGCTAGTTCTGTTATCTACTACTCATTACTGACTGAGAAAACACTGCCAGGAAGGCACACAGAAATACTGTCAAGGCAGCTAGACATGTCTACACATTTATCTGTAGTGTGTCCCAACAGAGTTCAGTGACACTTGGCTTAGAAAAGCATATTGACACAGCACATTTTTCCAAGGGGAAAAAAAAAAAAGCAACAATCAATATTTGTATACCACAATACAAATATTTTACTGTGGATTCTATAATGCAAACTGCAAGGATTCGTCATCTAATATTTTCTGGGCCCATGAGCCTCCTAACAGTATAACCTTACTTTGTTGAGCAGCATGCCATTTTGGCCCTCCAGTGCACCATCTGAAATCAAAGTTAAACCATCATTTATCAGTTTAATTAGTAACATGCTTGACATTTTCTACTTGATTTTTTTAAGAGTAGCTTGTGGCAGAAAGTGAGAAAAAAAAGCATTCAGCTGCCCTTTCCCTGTGACCAAGAGACTGAAATAGTAACAAATTCATGTCTGCAAACTTACTTTGACTCTCAAAGTTCTTAATCCACTACACTAAAGTAGAAATTTATAGTTAATGAGGCTTTCTTTCCCAATTGGGTTTGCAAAACTAACAGAAACCCTCAACTCAGCATTTTTAACACCTATTTTCTGACCATTCTAAGCAATAATGATGTTTTATGCAAAAAGGGAGCCAAACAACATGCTTTATATACTAATTTACCTCACTTAACAGAATACATAAGACACAGAGCAATTTGTTTTTTATTCACCTAGTCTTCACGGAGACCAGAACAACCATAAGTTAAAGCTGTAGACATTAAGACATAAAAATAAGTACATTTTAGAAACAGGTTAAAATAGATACAATTCATGTGACTTGTATAATTGCAAGTGAATGCACAACATTATACTTAGTTGTGAATTGAGCAGATTCAGTAAAACGTCTGCAACGCAACGGAAGGTTTTAAGACCTAGTCATAACAAATTAGATACACATAAAACCAGTAATGCTACAGAAGAGGACATATATGAAATAAACTCTGGTAGTTCTACCAAAATACATATATTAATGAAGTAATTCTGACAACTGCTAAAAGACATTCATGTCATATCTGAACTAAGGACAGGAAAGTGTTCAGCCATGCATATGAAAGTATCCTTTAGAAGAAATTTCCTAAATAGTTATGCTATAAAAAATATATGAAATCCTGTTTGAGCAGAAAGTGGCAACATTGACAGCAGCTAACAAAGTATCAGATAGGACTGTTAAAAAACTGCAGAATCTTTTGCAAGAATGAAAAAAGTGATGTAGGAAAGCATTACCTAGTATTTAAGAAATATTTTTGCATTCATGCATTTCATTTTAGCATGCTTTCTCTAAACGTTTCTACTTTAAAAAAAAAAAAAAAGAATCACTCAAATTCAGTGCTCTGCTTCCTCAAATTAATCTCCTCAAAATTAGAAACACATCCGCATATTTATTTCAGGAAGTATTTGCACTAATATGCTGAAAAACAGCTTTCAATATAACACATTCTAATTAACATAATCCATTTCATTTCTATTCTTGTGCCTTAGGCATCGGAAAGCAACGCTGCACAAATAACAGGTGGTATTCAGAAGAGTGAAAATTATCAAGATTAAATGATGAAAGCACTTACCCTATGAAAAATGCTTTCCTGACGGCCAATAGCAGAGTAAACTAACAAAAAGGCTGAGTGACTCCCATTTTACTATCTATCCACTTAGGAAGGTTAGTCACCAACAACAGTTATATCCAAGTCCCAGTACAAATAAATAATAGATCTACCAAGATCGTCAGAACATCTATTTGCTGTATAGTAGCTCAGTGTTTTCAAAAAGAACTTCCATAATTCTATCTTTTATTCTCAATTGATATTGAGCTACTGCAGTTTTTAGGTGACTGTTCTTTAGCCAGATAGTATATTAGCTTCATGTTTTAAAAAGTTTTTGTACATACATTAATTCATATGTATTTCCTACTATAACTTAGATGACAAGAGCCCTATAAACTGAGGTTCACTGCTTCTGTGCTTAACTTGCCACCACTTAGGCTGTGAATCATTGCAATCATAGCGGAATGTTTGTTCAGTTCTTCCTTCTGTAATTTTACAAGTGCTTCTTTTTCT